GCCATCATGCATTCCCTCGTCAAACAGCTGTGGCAGCAGTAACAAACCTACTGCTATATGCAATAAAATGCCGTTGTTATATGAAAAAATAAAATGCATCAAGAATTATCGCTCTGCAATTCTAAAATAACTCGGGTGAGAAGACTAGGATCGAGTTCTCAAATAAAAGCACAGTTCACTCATAAAAACGGTTTCTAAGATTTCCTCCAAGGACGAACTTGTGGCCTTGAAAGTAGCACTTAAGACATCAAAAAACGAACTCGACAGGACGTTTCAAGGGCTCCAAAACCGGCTTGGCTGACGTACACAATCAAAATTGGTCATGTCATGACAGCCTTGTCAAGACTGTACCATTCACAATGAAGCGTCAGGACGTCGACGAATAGTGCGCTTATGTCGGAGACACCCAGACTGTTAGAGGTACCTAATCTCGTGTGCAACCCCTTTCTTAAAGGCACAGTTCACGACGAAAATGATTTTCAAAATTTCCGTGTAGTATGAATTCGAGGCTCCCCCTTATAACATACCTGCCATTATATAGTCGAAAAACGTCAGGGACAGAGCACAATAAGGGGCCACAGGGTGTAGACTTGTAGAGGCTGCATTATCTTGAGATTCCTATGTGGGAAGTTCAAACAATTTGTCATGACCCAGGGAAAGACAGTTTCGGACAACTTCGGCTCGATGTAGTCATCTTTTTGAATTATGGGAACAAGTTAAATCTCGTCCAAACACCCCTTACATGCCATTACCGTAATGGTGATCTCGTACAACCTCCACTTCCACTACTTTTTGAAGAGGTGAAGTAGGCGGTTCCTCGCTTTCTTCGCCACCGATGTCTCTACATCAACACTTCCATTTTCCTACCTAAAGGGTACCTCAAAATCATCGTGAATTGGGCCTTCAAGGCTGTTGACCAGAAGAGATTCCGAAATGAACGTGAGTAGTTCTTTAAAACATTACGGATTTTTTCTAACGAGTATGTTTAACTCTTAGATCTTTTGAATATGAATTTCGAAGGGGAATACGGTGTGGAAACAAGTTTGTGGTCTTATGTAAACTTCTCTAGGATAGGTACCTTAGGTAACAGAAGCTCGGTTGAGCAAACGCAACACAAGTAGCAATATAAGAATTCAATTTAAAGTAGGAAAAGGCGGCAGAATCGTGATTCTTGAAAGAATGTCTGATTCGCTATCGTTGTTCAAATGTAAAATATTCGCCGCAGTGTTACGATACTGAAATGCAAATGTAGGTAGCTGACAAGTGTCTCCATCCGTTCTCACCAACAGCAGGCACTCAAAGAAGTGTTTATTTCGATGCATACCTGAATGTTCTCGTTTTCTTCTGCTTTCTTCTTTTCCGGCAGCGTTTCTGATTGATCGACAGTAACCCTGAAATAGACGTTCTTAACTGAATCATCGACATCAAAACAGTCATTCTTGGAAATCACTGCAATCTTCGAAACACCTACAAAGCACCCAAGCTCTGTTCTGCTTCAGTCTCAGATCAGTGGGAAACGGAGGTCGGGGGTAAACAATCATGAGCACCTGGGAAGTCTCCATGCATCAGTAAGGCGAAGGATGCCTTCGACAGCAGGTACAATAGGTGTGACGGACAAAGTTCATGGATTTGAATGTAGCTTAAATTTTAACGCGAAGCTTCCCTCCCTCTGAGGAGGTCGGGAATCATAGGGACACGTGAACCGCTGAGAACACCCTGGTGAAACCCTAGGAACAGCTTACATGGGCTTCATGGTTCGCAAGTGAATTGCCCCAGAACCTTCATGTTCTAAGATGGAAATTGAGCTATCATAGTGGCACCAGAGCTAATGAAAAGCAACATCTCATTTTTGAATCTCACAATCAGCTCGTTTAAGCCTATATTCAATAAGTTCTACTCACGGTGGGCATTTGGCAGCAGCGTAATCCGCACAGTCGACTTCGTACCTGAATCAAGAGTCATCTGTCAAGGGAAGGAATGTCATTGTAGTTTGAATACTTACCGTACCATTATTCTGAAACTCCCGAACTGATAACCAACCATCTGAAAGAAGGGCCCAGTGGAATGGGCACCCCTTGGCCGGGTCATTTTTCGTTTTAGATTCTGATCAAACGTGCAGTGTCCTATTTCCATGAGATCGGAAGCTTCCTTCCTGAATCAGTTCATTTTGGAAATGAGGAAAGTTGACAGAAGTCTTTCACAGAGCTATCTCAACTCACCTGGTGAGAATGCAGGTTTTGCCTACCCGTTCGCAGTCAATTCGGAACAGTCCCTCACCTGCTTCCTAAACTGAGTGTCAATCTTGGCTGCATTGGGTGTTTAAAAGTTAGAAAATCTCTTATTGCAGTGTGAAAACCAGGCCATTTAATTGAGTCCTCACAAAGGAGAGGTTCATTTTCAGCTACAAATTCATTTTGATTTTATCAGAATTGGTGGGCTCACTTGACAGAAAGCGAAAAGTTTTTGCAGATTCACGGCATCAGTGATGAAGTCGTACTTGCTGAAGTCGATCGGTTTTCGCTTTTTGTCTGCCAGAAGTTTTGTGGCGATGATGGCAGCGTCAAGTGATCCGTCATGAACCTCAAATGACTCTTTTGTCAGTTTATAGCAGGCTGGATGAGTCAGCACTTTCTGAGAAAGCCTCTGGCAGAATATGAATAATTCAAAACCGCGGAAGGCCATTAAACCGTAATTTCGATTGGGAACCTTTCATGTTTTCCACTACATCTTCGTATATGGTCAAGAGATCTGGAAGAGTACGTTCTCAATCGCACCACATCGTTCCAGAATTGCTAAGAGTTGACGAGCCTCCAATAGGGTAGGGGAGTTTCGTTGGGTGGAGACTAATAAGTAGGGTGTTACTTATGTCCACTCACCGTAGCTCTCAGCAATTGCAGCACTTGCCCTATCGCCATCCCACGTCCCCCACCAATCCTCCCAAGGCCTTCTTTTCGCCGCAGAAGTGACAGGGATGATGGGGTGTAATGAGATAGTCTTCTCATCTACCTTCGGAATGAAAATACAAATTGCTATCGTGATTAGGAGTAAATACGACCGATAAATGGAGCCTGTGGTCCGCAAATCTTGTTCAGTTGTCAGTTTTTAAGAGCATATTGACAAACAGCAAGAGTTCCTCCGGAGGTTGATCAATGCTCTACAGATCTATTTGTCTTCGAATTCAAGCAACAGATTGTTGCATGTTGAAAAAATACTCAAAAACGTGTGTTGTCAACTTCAAGCTGTAACTTTCAGTGAACAGTTGCTCCAGGGTGCTCACAATTAGTCACGAAGTGGAAATACCTAAGTGAATCTATGAAAATATGTAACCAGTTAATGATAACTGTTCGTGTTGGAATGGGTGGCATAGATGGAGATGCCGGCTAAAGTTTCTACAAGATCAGATGAGTAGATTACCAGACAAGGCTGACAATTAGATCCAACACCAAAGACTGGGATACTCGACCCCTCTCTGAAGATGGGTCAAGGCTGTCAGGCTTGTTCGGTAATGAAGAAAATTGTGAGGTATGTCAATAATCAATAAGGTTGGCAAGAGAGTTCTACGGCAAAGGGAAAGTTCCTCGAAATTCGAGCTTACAGCTCTTCGAATAGACCAGTCGTCAGAAAGATATTCACTGAGGAAATGAACAACATTCTTTCATCCTTAGTGCAATACACTAAGACCTTCTGTCCAGAAGAAGGTCTTAGTGAATGGAGGCTGTGGCTCAAAAAAGTCATTGACTGTGATATTCAATCCACAAGAATTCTCTTCCACCAAAGGAGGGCCTGAGTAGGCGGAACCAACGGTGATCAAAAAGTGCATGTTCGGAGAGTACGGTAGATAAGTAGCTTGGGAATAGCCGATCTCGGTGATTTTTTGGCGAGTCTCCGAAGCGTAATTTCGACGAGCTTTGTTGTGCTGTAGGTACACATGCCATGATTCCAAATACTTTTCTTTAACCGCAATGACCAGATGCTGGGGATGATTGGTGTAAGCAGCAGCTGTGGGTCTCTTCATAGATGATTGGTGAAAATGATAGCAACTGATCGGAGTTATCTCGTATCTCTAGCAGCAAAGCATTTCAACAAGTTCAACCAGTTTTTTGATCTTTGAACGTTGTGTAAAACGTCCAGAAATGTGATACTGGTAATTTCAGCCACCACACTTGTGATTTTCCCTTGGTACCATCTGCAGAAGAAGATGGATGGTACGAAATTGGTGTTGTCAAACCACCGAAGTCAAACCNTGTGAAACTTATGAGAAATCGCGTGCTTACACTTCTTTACGTTAGTGTTGATTGTGTTTACTTTCTCTTGCCAATCTAACACACAACGAATACACACTTTCTGAAAACAAGTCGATTGGTAGGGGTATTCTGAAGAGAAAGAACAAGACCAACAAGTCAGGCTTTTCCCCTTTGCTTGTTTGCGCTTACAATTAGTAGGAATAATCGGCACTGCCTATTCAGAAAAATTCAAAAAGCATCTGTTGAATGATTCACTGAAGAGGCTTCAAGGTATGTAATGAAATACTCGAAACATATGCTAACCTTGAGATGATTCACATCGTAGATGACTACGCCATGATCCTGCTGCAGTTTACCTCCAGGCCAGAAGAATGACTCGAGTGGCATGCCGGGAACCTTCAACACAATATTCTGTTTTCAGGAACAAATAAACGACTTCGAACAGCTATCTTATGTATTAGCCGCTGGATAACGTGCTAGGAAAAGCAGAACGAACACCTTCAATAACCATTCCCCAGGATCCGTTGTAGAAGCGACAAAGTTTGCAACCTCAGTTTGAAAGTGAACGTGAAGTTTGCAGTTTGAGCGAAATACGGTAGGTTTGGCGATTTCAAAAAAATGTGCAACCTCTATGGAAGCCGTGGTTGCTTACCCATGAACACTGGTCATTTTTCCTTAGTGCAGCATTTTGTTTTTCTTGGCTTCTGCCGGTTTTTTTTGGATACAGCGGCTGCCAGTTCGGTTTCACACCTCGGCCACGTAATCCGTTTTCTTCGGCACGGGTTACCGATCAATTTTAGTTCTTTTCAAAGTGATCAGAATAGAAGTCATCGTAGTGGAGATACTGGCAGATTCCTACTACACTCACACCTTTTTGCACCGGACACATCAATTTTCTCTCCCTAACTGCAATAAAATCTTCGTCGTAAGCGTTAGGTATGCAAAAACGGTTCAGGAGAATGCTCGTGAGGCCCAACTGACCCTTATCCGCGTTTATACATTTCCATACTCAGAAAAAGAAAAGAAGGGGAGAATACTTACAAGAATTGTGTTGGTATCCTCCGATAGAACCCATTGATAACTACCAAGTCGATCGACATACTTGGTACTGGTTGGTCCACCTTTTCCAGCAAGATTAACAAGTGGTAACAAACCGTATGGCTCCTCTTCCAACCCTTCGAATAACCAGAAACCGTCGGTCATCTAAACTTTACACTTTATTCTTCATTATTTACACCGTACACCTTGCAATTTGTTCTTTGTAATCTATTTTTTCTACAGCATGATAAATACAGAAAGAGTAGTTGATGATAGTTGACATGGAGGTAGAAAAGTGTTAATTTCCGTGGGAAAATGGATAATTATCGAAGATAATATGATATAACATTTCGAAATCTGATATAAGCTATAGATTCGAGTGAACATAAAGGCGGATGAGAGTCGATACTGCGGAGGAGGGGCTTTTGTTACACCGGCATCTGGTGAAAGTGCGGAATACACAAGTCGGCTGAATCGAAGTGGTCTGAAATGGGTCGTACACTTAAGTGTCCCAGGGGGAGGATTATTTTGGGGAATGATGATTCCCTAACAGCTACTGTACCAATCCTCACTATCTCATGCTCACTCATTGTTTTAGTTTTAGCAAGCAAGCATAAGTTGCTCTGGAGGAGGAAGAACTACGAGAGGATTGGATGGTTTCTATTTTAGGTGGAATGAGATTAGGTATGACGTGTGAAGTTACATGAAACTGCGTGGAACCTTTGGTCCGAACAGAGCTGGAGCGCTAAGGTTGCGGCCACTTTACAGTGAAGGGATCGGACGGCTGTCGCAGGTGGGAGGCAACAAAAACATAACTCAACATGCGTCATATAATATGAAATCGAAACTTCTTCATTTCTAAATTTCGATCGAAGCGTCTATGTGTTACTTATTAAAGCAGGAAGCTGTTTTGCAAGAACCTTTTACCAAAATTCTTAAGTCATACTTTTATTTTGTGAACTCATTTTTATCCTGCCATTTATTCTGTAGTCCAGAAAATTATTCCGTCAGTTTTAAGGTTTTTTGTTAGATTCAGGTCTACACTTGTGAGCATGTCATGAAATTAACGATTTGAGAACAAAATTCGAAAGAGCTCCTCAGCATGTGGTAGGTATAAACTACCCGTTGTATCCCAAAGGCGACGGGCTAGTTAAGTTGTTTTACCAGTGCACAGATATGAAGT